GGGAAAGAGCTCAGATGGCAGAGGAAATCTGAGACTATCTTCATGCGGTCCAGTCATTCTAGGATCCCCAGCTGACCTGGCCCAGGAGGATGACGGAGTGGTCTGGGGCCTCCGGGAGACTTGGACATTGAGGCTAGATTGGCAGGGAGAGCAGGGAGTGGGTAGTATGGCCGGATCTACCCACCACCGAACAGTGAGAGGGCAGGTAGCCCAGGACAAGGCATGAAGCTGGGAGTGGCTGTCAGATTCTGTGGAGAAAGAAATCCTCTTGAGGTGACAGAGCCTTCTGGCTGTCAGGCCAGCCTCACTGAAGGGATCTCAACTGTAGCCACCTTTGCCATTCTGGGGGCATAGTGGGAGCAGCGTCAGTTTCTTTACCACTGGTCTGACCTAAATGGCGACTCACTGTCCGGGTTCTGGTGAGGGCATTTCTGGAAAAACTTTTGGAGAAGGCCCTTTCCTCCAAATCTAAGCAGGGAACTCAGTATCTGTGGGCTCCAATCCAGTCCGGATTTTGCATCTGTGAGGTGCCCGCTTCCCTCCCTCCCTCCATAGCCCTCCCAACACCTGCTGCAGAGGCTGGAAGCCAAGAGCTATTGTGCAGGACACTGAACTCTGGCCCTCCGCCTCCGCCTCCACCCTAAACTCTGCACATTTTATGGGGATGCTTTGCCGGCTGGCACGGAGCCAAGGAGTTTCCAACTCCACTGGGGAACAGAATTCCTAGCCAGCTCCTGCCTTTGGAGTTTTCACCGTCTTCTCTCCCTCTGGGGCACTTCGAATCAGGAAGTTTAAGTGCGATTTTGCATTTCTATTGAGCTGGTATTCAATGGCAGGGGATGTATCTGAATAGGGATGTGAGGCCAGTTGGAGTGAGATACAGACTTCTTGGAATCCGGAATTAATGAGGCCAGAAGGGTCCTCCCAAGGCTTCTGCGTCCATAACAATTATTTTGACTTCTGTAGCTTATCCTGAGCTTCCTTATTGCCAAAGCATTTATTATTTCATTTAATCCTCACAGCTCACCTGCGAGGTAGGCATTACCCCTATTTAGTGATGGGGAAATGGAGGCCCACAGTTGTCAGTGGACCGTCCTGGGTCACACAGCAGCTAACTGGAGTCCAAGCTTCCCAACTCTAGTGCAAACTCCAGGAAGGAGGCACCTCGTTCAGGCTACACTGAGGAGCTTCTTGGGAAACCTACAGATTCTACAATTTCCCTTGTGAGCTCTTCCAACACCACTACCCTTCCCTGTAGAAAAGGTACAGACTTCAGAGCAGCTGGCCAGGGCAGGAGGGGGTGGGGGATCAGATTTTGGAGGTGAAATGAAAGACAGAGAGGCAGAGGCACTGCACTTAGAAAGAAGGCCCACCCATGGCCTCTTTTCCTCTTCCTGTTCTCAGCACTCCAACCACGATGAGAATTACTGCTCAGAAGAGGGAAATTCCTCTCTCCCTACAAACTGATGTCACATCCCTCATCAACACTCCCAGGAAAGTACCTGGTTTTCTGCATTCCAGGCTTTTTTCCACAATGTGCCAAACTTACATGTTGTGCAGGGCACACCAGCCACAGTGAGGGTCCCCCGAGCTCAGGCACTCCCCACAAGTCGTGTACTGTTCACAGGATTCCACAGGGACCCTGGTGATCTGGCCGAGAGGGAAAAGAGAGCAGGTTAGATCGGGGAGTGACGCCTCGCAGAGGTGTGTTCAGACTCAACTACACCTAACCACACTTGCACTGTCACCACCCCTAAGAGGTGACAGTGGGTGTGTGTGTGTGAATCGGTGGCTTCAGTGTTCTCATCTGTTTTCCCCACACGAGGCAGCTACAGCTGACAGGCCCCAGGCTTCTTGCCTTTGCTGGAGGTGGAAGCAAATCCTCCAGTTTCTCTTTGCCTGCACTAAAGTCCTCCAGAGAGCTGGGCCTGCTCCTGGCAAAGGCTGAAAATGGTTAACTCTGTTGAAAGGCTATTGAGTGCCACCAACTCGTCTCTGAAGAGCTTTCAGCTGGGCTTGGGCTGAGACATCCTGCCTGCACAGGAAACATCTAAAAAGGGAGAGAAGGAGAAACTTTTCCTATCAAATAATATTCATCTAATGGCATGGTCTTTTTACATCCAACCAAACATACCACCTGGATCCAATTATCCCATTCTCTGATGCCTGCATTCAGTTTCTCTAGTAAATCTCCCATCCTTTGAAAAGTCTGGCTAAATGGGAACAGAGATGAGCTGCCTGTCTTGCTGGGGAAAGTGGGAATGTACAGATGAAGCCCCTGCCCCCCAGAGGATGTGGCCTCCTCCTGGCTTCCAGGTGGGGCCCTGCGGTGACACGAGCCGGGCCTCTTTGGTCATTACTCACCCTTACCTGCTTAGCGGATGTGACATTAAGGCCAGGCAAAGGGTCAGAAGATTGAAGTCGTGCATTTGGTATGTCCTATAGGTATCTGTTGCTGGCTGAGGCTGGAGGCTGCTGGGCTGGGAATGGAATCTCATTTGTTAGGGCAGAGAGGTCCCCCACCTACTGGATGTGCGAACGCAAGTGGAAACACAACCTGCGGTCCAGCGGCACAGTGGTCTGCCTCTAGCAGGGGGACAAAGAATCTGAGGGAGATGCCTTCACAGCATGCTCCTGAGAGGCTTGGGATGGAGTCTAACACTGCTCACCCGGCAACTGTTTATCAGATGTCACTATGAGAGGCTCCGGTGCTGTGTGATAGAGAAACAGCAGCGAACAGGACACAGATCCTGCCCCCCCGGAAGAGCACGCAGCCCAGTAGGAGTTGATAATTACAAACCGAGACGGCTCTACACTGTGCTCAACATCCATTGCAGGCAATAGGCATGTGCCCTGGGGGCCTTGGCAGCTTAAAGGAGGGCCGTCCAGCACAACCTGTCTGGAGGAAGGGACCAGCCAAGTAAGGGTGAAACAGGGTAACAGTGGGGCCAATGCAGATGCCTGGAAGGGCATTCCTAGCTGAGAGATTATCACGAACAAAAGTAATCATGGGGCTTCCCTGGTGGCGCAGTGGTTGAGGGTCTGCCTGCTGATGCAGGGGACACGGGTTCGTGCCCCGGTCCGGGAAGATCCCACATGCCGCGGAGCGGCTAGGCCTGTGAGCCATGGCCGCTAAGCCTGCGCGTCTGGAGCCTGTGCTCCGCAACGGGAGAGGCCACAACAGGGAGAGACCCGCGTACCGCAAAAAAAAAAAAAAAAAAAAAAAAAAAAAAAATGTAATCATGGCTAAGTTCAGCCTAACTCAAGTGTGGAGTGTATACTGGATGGGCGGGCTGAGAGATGAGGCTGGTGGCATGGAACCAGGGGCCAGACAACGAAAGGTCTTGGGTACCAGCCCCAGGAACCTTCCTTCTCTCTGTTGGGTGCCTCCCACACCCGCTCATTCTCCCCACATCATAAACACTTAACATTCTGATTTACAAAGCTTTTCTCTGAGTGACGTGATCAGCGTTAAGCATCCCTAACTTACCTTTCATAATAAAAATACAAAATGCAGAAAGCATAAATATAAAATCTTGCAATTCAGTGAAAAAATTGATATTCTAAATGGAGGTTGGGGGAGCAGCTGATTTGAAATAGTTCATGCGGAATAGGTCCGAGGGTTGAATTGACTCTATGTCCAATATGACCTGACAGGGTGATGTCATAGCTAAAGGGGCTAATTCGATCATGGGCTGCATTAATGGACATGGTGTCAGGATGGAGATGACCTGAGTTCCCAGCTCAGGTCTTTGCAACCTGCTCTAAGAGGAGGGTTGCTCAACCAGAGAAACTTTCCAGAGGGTGGTCACGATGGGGTGGGACCCAGGTGTGGCATCCGAGGTACAGCTGATAGACCTGTATGTTTATTTAGGTCAAAGAAGTTGAATGTCAGGGTAGCCGTGGAAGCTATCTGCCACTGTTTGAAGGGCGGCAGTGTGGCTGCAATAAGACTCATGGGTGAAAAGTTCCAGGAAAACTCGACAGAAGAAAGTCAAGGTTGTCCACCAGTGCAACAGACCTGGATTCCAGCAGGGACTCCCTTCCGTGGGACGTGTAAGCAGAGTCAAGGTGACATGTGTCTGGGAGGCTGTGGAAGGTATTTCTGCCCCCAGAGGAAGGCTGCCCTAGTCCTTCTAACTCTGACATATAGGATTCTATTTCCCACAGTTTGCCTAACTCCTTCCTGAGACTGTTCCTTTCTGTCCTGAATGACTTGGACAGTTCAAAGATCCAGCCACGCCACTAGCCACTGATAGCACCCCACTTTAAGGAGCAACCATTGACCCCTGACTCAAGTCCTGTGATTACTACCAGAAGCACCTTTCCGGCAGGTGCCTGCCAGACGCTCTCCCAGCATGCCTCTCCCGGGCCTGGGACTCTCGGCCCTTCAGGATATCTGTGACCCTAGCCACCTGGGGGGCTTCCGCCAGCCCCCTCCAACCCGCCCTCGGAGGCCTGAGAGCCGCAGCCCAGTGCCCGGCCTCCCTTTCCTGGGTTTCGGGCTCCGTGTGAGTGATGTCTGCATCTGGCTGGAAATTAAAACAACTGTCTGCATTGCATTCGGCCCGTCTGTCAAAACACAGCCCAGCTCTCAGCAGCTGGGGAAGGGGGCCCTGAATGGGAGCAGTGTCTCCAGCAACAAAGCCCACTTTCACGCCAAGTGCCACAGAGATAGTGAGAAGCCTGTTCTTCTCCAAACGTGAAACCAACAGCACAACTATTTTTCCTGTTTCCTGGGCCCTCCTGGTGGGAAATTTTGTTTAAAATACACTGAGTTGAAGAGCAAAGTGAAACAGGAAACTTATAAGGGGGGTGGTTCCTAAAATTTGAATTATTCTCTTCTCAAAGACCTAAGAGCCATATGCAAACCAGAGGAAAGGAATGTCACAGGGACTGGAGGGAGGCCCTCAAAGTCAGGTGTTTCCATGGGTGCTCTGTCTTTCCTATAATCATGTGTTTCTGTATTCATTCATCAACCCATATTCATAGATCATGTCCTACAGAAAGGCCAGTGCTGGGCACTTTAGGGGAATAAAATCAACAGCAGCATTAAAACACAGCCATCACCTTCAAGTTGCAAACAGACTAGCAATAAAAACAAGAAAAGTGATGTGTGTTCTAAGAGAGGTACTGAAAGAGGGCTGAGGCAATTCAGAGCAAAGAAAATACTGCTTCTAGGTCTATACCGTCCAGTGTATGGGCCCGTGTGGACACCAGCATCTGGAATGGGGTTAGTTCGAATTCTAGTCCTTAGAGATGTGCTCTAAGGACACTGGATGTTGATGGTTGAGCACGGAAAACAAGAATGTAAAATAGCACAGTAATAATTTTTTATTGACACAGGTTGAAAAGATAAAAATTTAGTAAATATTGAGTTAAATAAGATCTACTATTAATTTCCACTGTCTCTTCTTACTTTTTAAAATATGGCTGCTGGAAAAGTTAAAATTACATGCGTAGTTGTGTGGATGGCACTTTGTTATCATGGGAGAGCACTGCTCTAGATGGGAGTCCCAAGAAGGCTTTGTAAGGGATGTGGCCTGGGTCTGGGTCTTCAAGGGTGAATAATATTTATACAGATGAAAAGCGTCCCAGGTGGAAAAAACCACATAAGCAAACATAGGAAAGCAGAGTTTCCTCAGAAAACGTTGCATGAGAATGAAGAGTGATGGGTATAAATCTGGAAAGGCAGTTTTCGGTTAACTTGGGAAGGACGGAGAAGGCCACAGAGCTGGAATACGTGACATCTGTAAGTTCTCCGGCCTGTCACTCCTTGGCCAAAAGAATGTCCTCCATGAAGAGGTGGCCCGAGTTCTCAAACCAACATGCTTGGCATTACCTGTGAGCTTAAGGGGCATAAAAATCCAGAGTCCACTGGGTTAGAACTTCTGGAATGGGGCGGGGCCTGAGAAATGGTTCCAACAAGCTCTCCAGGTGATTCTTCTTTTTTTTTTTTTAAAGAAGATGTTGGGGGTAGGAGTTTATTAATTAATTTATTTTTGCTGTGTTGGGTCTTCGTTTCTGTGTGAGGTCTTTCTCTAGTTGTGGCAAGCGGGGGCCACTCTTCATCACGGTGTGCGGGCCTCTCACTATCGCAGCCTCTCTTGTTGCGGAGCACAGGCTCAGTAGTTGTGGCTCACGGGCCCAGTTGCTCTGCGGCATGTGGGATCCTCCCAGACCAGGGCTCGAACCCATGTCCCCTGCATTAGCGGGCAGATTCTCAACCACTGCGCCACCGGGGAAGCCCCTCTCCAGGTGACTCTTATGAGAACCACTGGTAAATGTGACCTCATGTCTTGATTCTTATGAGAACCACTGGTAAATGTGACCTCATGTCTTGGGAAATCTTTTTAAGTGTCAGGCCCTGGGGCCATGAAGAAATAGAATCAAACTCTGCCTAGGGACTACGAAAGGAACTAGTGGATGGAAGGAACTAGACTGACTCAGGGGGAGGAGAGATGGAGGTTAGCCTAGGGACTGCTTTATAGCCAGGGAGAAATTGGTTTTAATATCTCTGAGTCTATGGAGGCCCTGAAAGACCAAGTTCAAACTTCTGGGGTCAGGGGCCACTTCACCCTGCACCAGGCGAAGGCGGGCACTTGCTCTAGGACCTGGTGGGTGGGGGAGGATGGGGAGGGGATGGGCAT